CTAGTCCCTGAGTAGTCAATTAGTAAATGTATTCCCTCAGTAAGCCATTAAATGTTTGTTTTTACTAGAAATGGCAACATAACAGTGAGAAAATATTTTCCATGCTACATAATAGCATCCTCTGAGAGATTAAATTAGCCTTTTTTAAACAATTTAAGCGGTGGATATGTAAAACTTGTCAGATACAGTTGTGACAGTTAAAACCTGACTCTGACAGCTGCTGCTCGGTGCCTCGGAGGATGTCCCTACATGAGCATATTTTTCCCTAGTGCACTGTGCGTGTTCTGCTAGATCACAGTACAGGAATTAGCCAGTTTAGAATATTTTGAAGACAAAATCCTTTGAGGAATTGTTGCTTATTTGGCCAGCATTGGAAAACATGAGTTGCATTGAAATGACAGTTCCCAACTTAGTAATCAAGATTTATGGAGGCATGGTGTGTTTCAAAATGTTAAGTAAACAAATGTGAGTATTGTTCACCTTTTTTTTATTTATGGGGGGAGGAGTACAGTTCTGGCTAGAGCTAAGCAAATAAATAGAAGAGAATTTATTTCAGGTCAAACCAAAACCAAAATGTTTTAGGTGATTCAAAAGTAGAAAAAAATTAAATGAAATGCTTTGTTCCTATTTTGACAATATAACCTTCACTGAATGGTTCAAAAGCAAAACTAAAAGAAACTTGAAAAAATGAAAATATGCGTATAACCAAAAAATTCAAAATGTTTCATTCTGAAAATTTTCAGAATGAAACATTTTGATTTCGAGGAGATTTTGTTTCGGTTTTTTCAACCAAAACACTAATTTACTAATGGTTTTGGTGTCACCAAATTTGCATTTTTTCACTGGGGGGGGGGGGAGTTTTGTTAAAAAATTTCACTCAGCTCTAATTCTGGCATCCCTGTAACATGGGACATTTTTAAAGTCTTCTCAATGCTTTGGCAAGTTTAATAATCTGCTCTACAATGTTCATATTTAAAAGTGATGGAAGTACAGTTGGAAGGTTCTGCAAGAAGATGCCTAGCTCATTTATGGCCTTATAGATAGACTGATTGTCTTAGGGAGGCGTAATTCAGTAGCCTGAAGGCCTATTCATTTTAAATCCAGGCATATTTAAGTATCTACACCCAGGCTCTCCCAAAAAGCAAGAATGGAGATTTGTGGTTTTCCACTTGTCCAACGAGAGAGAGCAAAGAAATGAAATCCCTTTTTCATTTGATACGCTCGGAGAAATAGTGTTCAGGAGCAAAGAGAAGCTTTTGCTTGGAGGAAATTTTTCTGCTGAAGTTGCTATTTACTTTTCAGACTTGAGCCAGGTTGTTCCATGATGCTGTGTTCTCCTCTGACATGGCTTGTGAAGTGGTATAGGATTAAGCTGTCAGAGTTCTTCCCGACACAATGCCTGTGTTGTCTGCTGCTTATTCAGTTACAATAGCAAAGCTGCTCAAGTCCAAAGAGGATACATTCAAGTTGCAGTTACACTTTACTTAAACTTGATTTTATACAAAATAGGATTTGCAGCACTGACATTATGGAGAGTGTCATGAAATGAAGCTGATCATCTCCTGGGGCCAACTTTTGCCACATGTGAGGTAATAGTTCTATTGACTTGAATGGGAGATCTTTCAAGCCTATAAGTTGCATGCACAACCGGCTGCACATGGTTTCCGTGTGGAATTAGGCCCACTCTGACTATATGCTGCAATGCTTAGCAGAACATTACACAACCCAGAGAGGGAGCCAATGTTCCTTTTCAGTCCTCTTTCACTAGATCTGACTATTCAAAACACAAACATAAAGCAGGAGCTAGTATTAAAAAATGAGCGGTGCACAAAAAAACTGGAATAAGCAAAACTTGTATTAAAAACCCTGCTCAAAATATAAACCAGCTGTACTGAGCATCAGTACCAAGTGATTGCAACTGAGTGCTGCCATCAAGCTCGCATCAGAAGACAGAGTTGCCGACCATACTAAGTTTACAAGTTTACCCACCACAAGACAGCAGCTAATGATTTAGTATGTGGTAGTCACGCTGATAGCAGACTTCAGAATTTGTCGAGTTCACTATGATTTAAGCTTTAGGGGACTAAACAGCATTTAAGGCATTGTCCAGTGTTCTATTTTAACTAGTTGAACCAGTGAATGTAACTGAAATTACAATTAAGCAGTAGCCCAACTTCTTAAAATAAAATGTTGTGAGACCTTTATCATTGGCATTTAAGTGAAAATGTAAGGGGCAGCTACCTTTGGCATGTAGTACTAGAACTGTGTAAACATGGCAAAACACTTATTGTGAATATTCCTTTTGCTTTATAAACTAACTTGCTTCATCTGTGTCTGCATTTTCCCCTCCCCCCCAATAATTTCCTAGTGAATGAGTTTACTGGTAGGAATGACTGATAGAAATACTGAATTTCAAATGAATATTAATCCGCTTTCAAAGAATGCAGAATTTATCAGACTCTGTATGCACACAGGGAAACATTCTAAGAGCTACTGAATGAGCTAACAGAACATACTATGTGACCTATGTCTAAGATACTAAGAAATATAGCTTCAAATTTAAAATATTGAAAACCAGTGTGGAGAGATTTAAAACTGTCTGTCTGTAGATGAATCATCTGATTGGTCACTGACTTAAATTTTACCGTAGTGCAACTTAGTTGATTCCAACGGAGTTGTGTTGGCCTAATAGGAGTAATTCACTGGCCTAAAGAATTTGTTTCTTCAGCAGAATAGAAAAAAACCAACATGAATAACAAAGAATGAAGATGCTCAGTGATAACCCTTGAATGGAATTGGGGCCTAATTATTGTTTTGGATGGAGTACAGTGTACACAGATGAATATTATATATTTAATTTCATACACAGAGGTATAGGTGGCTATAAATAGTGTTGTTAATAAAAAAATCATACAATAAATGTAATTGAATGGGTATAGCATTTCCGAGAGTGTTTGTGTTTGATTTAATGTATTTCTTTCCATACACATCCTAAATCAGATTATTGCACAGTTTGCAATTCAGAACACACTAAACTTGGTTCATTTATAAATTCAATTTATTTTATATCCCAAAGTTTATGCACTTGCCTTCATTATAATGTATGAAATTTGGCAAGAGTCAGCTGACTGAATACTAAGGAGGATTTGAAGACAGTTGAATTGTGTGCCGTTGATTAAATGTGCTTTAATTTGGACCATAATCTGATCACTTGTTATCCAATTTTAAAAATTCCTGGTCTGAAGAAATCCATAATTAAAATGCCCTATGGAAGCCAAGTTACCAGGCTAAATCTCAGGCTTAATTACATAATCACATGATACGCCTCTACCTCGATATAACGCTGTCCTCGGGAGCCAAAAAATCTTACCGCATTATAGGTGAAACTGCGTTATAGCGAACTTGCTTTGATCCACCAGAGTGCGCAGCCCGGCCCCCCCCGGAGCACTGCTTTACCGCATTATATCTGAATTCATGTTATATCGGGTCACATTATATCGGGATATAGGTTTATATGGTAAAACATGGTAAAACTTGATCTTCCTACACTGTAACTAGGAAAAACTTGCTTAGTTTATTCTGGTAATATGTAAAGTTTTATTGATAGCCTTCTGCAGCTAATCCGGAATGACCTATAATGCGCATACTCATGGTAATGTATAACATAAGGCACCACCTTAGTAAATTAAGAGCTGGTAGCAACCTCCCAGTGTCACTGCAAAATTCCACATGGAACAGATTGTTTAGCGTAAGTAGCTACCATGTATATTCTAAGGGACAATTCCAGGTAGAGTGATCCATTAAAACCTCTGATGTTATAGGTCAAAAACGGGGCTAGTGGGTCACAGATTATTGTAATAAGCCATAAATCTACCATCTCTGTTCAGTCCATGATTTTTAGTGTCTAGCCAAGTAATGAATTTAAGCTCTTATCTCATCTTTTGAAAGGTTTCCTTTGAGGATGAAGATTGATAGGTCAGATATAGGTGTGAACAGGCCACTATACTTGAATGGTGCCTTACAATATGTGCTAACTACTTATGCTAAACAATCTCTTCCACTTTCGTTTTCTTGTGAAGCTGGGAGTACCCTTTCCGGACCTGAAGAAGAGCTCTGTGTGGCTTGAATGTTTGTCTCTCTCACCAACAGAAATTAGTCCAATAAAAGATATTACCTCACCCACCTTGTCATTCTTTTAATTGGTTGATGTATTTTTATAAGTTGGTAAAACACCACAATGAAATGGCATTTTGTTTCATATAATCCATATGGCATTGTCACAGGTGTACTGGACTAAATCTATGTCATATGTAAGTCACTGAACAAAGTGGACTTACACAGAGGAAAAACTTGTTCAGGTATTTTCATGACATTTGAGTACTTAACTGCTCATTGTGTGGGGTGGGAGGGTCCCAGAGCTCCAGCCCAAGCAGCAATGAAAAAGCCCTGCAGCCCAAGTCAGCTGACATGAGCCAGCCACAGGTTTTTCTTTGCTGTAGACATATCCAACAAGGCACGCTCCAGAAATGAAGAACTGAGTCACTAGAAAGATGAGGGTTTAGAATAATCAACAACAGGGCTGAAAGGACTTGAAGTGGTGCAGGAAGCACGATTGGTCCTCTATGCATGACGATTGAAAAATGGACTGGTTAGAAATTGAGTTACTGCATTGTTGGTTACACATGTATTTCATCTGCATTATAGGCCTCCGAAATGGAGTGTAAAAATACACCATCAAAATCTTAACAAACATGAAAATTTCTTTTAAAAGAAGTAAACAGAGTAAACTGACCAGACAACTAAAATAAACTAAATAAGAATGATAAGCAGCATCCCGTTCTCATTGAATTCTAAAATGAAACTCACATATTTCTGTGAAGGGATTTGATACCTGGGGGTGCCTTCTCCAGACTCTCCTTATCTGAGACTGAAAAGGCAAAGAGCGTTTCCCAAACTTTAAGCTTCAATATTTGCATTTTATTTTATTTTTCACTCTACAGGTATCTTGCCCAAGACAGATGCTTGAACCTAAAGAAGATCTTTCCAATATGACAGGGTTTATGTTTATCTGCATAAAATAATCACCTATGCAAATGAAAAATGAAGATAGTGGTGCGATAGCAGCAAATTGGGATCTACATTAACTTCCAGGTAAGAGATTGTTAGGTTATCATGTGTTATCAGTTCAGAATCGAATGACATTGACATGTTTTGCACTAAGTAATGCAGCAAAATGTGAAACTTAGCTACTTATGAGTTAAACTACAGGCCATATTGTTGAAAGGTTAGCTAAGGTTCACAGACTAACCTCATTCACCACGCCTTCTCCCCCAATTCTATTCTCAGATCCTTGAAATTCCACATATTCTGCAGGAAGTGGTGTTTCCTATGGGAACTAATTGATTTAATGGGAATATCATGCAGCTGAGAAGGAACTTGTAGGCTCAAGGACGACATGGCTTTGCCGCAATTTTTGAGGAATTTGTGATCTTGCCTAGCCTTGATGCAAAGGAGTGAAACTCAGCTGTTGGGTGTTTATCATATTTGTAGTCATTGTTAGTTTCATATAAACTCAGAACTCAAACCACAATTAAAGAGGAGCCAGAATAAAACCAAAGAAAAAAGGTACATGATACTCTGTGAAGTGAAATTGCAAAGTTGTGCACCTGTCTCCTAACTGACAAATATCCTGTTTTCATGCTAATATCTGTAGTAATGAAGACTGTGGGAACAGAAATTCATAGAATATTGGTACATTAGCAGAATTGTCTTGATTTTGGGTTATCTGTGGGATGTTGGCAGGTCTTTTAAAGCTCACTCGGTGCATAATTTGTAATGTAAGAAGTGCTGGGGCTCAAGCAATTATTTTACTTTCATAACTGATGCAACAAGCCAAGAGGGGCCGGGGCTATGAATTGCCAAGCCTAGAGGTGCCGGGGCTCAGTCCTGGCAAACCCTGGCATAAATTAAGCACTGAGCTCACTGCTACTGCAAAAAAACACTTGCTAATCCTGCTCCACAGAATTGTTTGTCTAATTTGTGGACTTTGATGATTTCACTCTAATAGGGTAAGACTAGGGAGGTTTGAGTTGGACAGATTGTTTCTTTGGAAGAGTCTCCTGTAATTGTGTATCATGCTGGAATTCTGGCTGACAACAGGGCACACAAGAGCCATACCCTTAAAAGTGACTCCTCTGTATTTAATTCTGTTCTTACCCAATAAATCTGTCAACTACAGGTCTGAGTAGTGATGAGATTTGGAGGGTTTCTTGTCTCAACTGCAGTTGCTATTGAAAGCTCTTTTAGGTACAGTATAAAAGCTGACAGCGTAAGTTGAAGTTGTTCAGGACATAAAGGGGGATGGACAACAGTTTAGATTGGCTCTCTGTCTGAGTCCTGAATTACTTAATCTAGCAGTGTCGTCTTGCCTTTGAAAGATACTCCATCAAATCCCCAAATCTTAAACCAAGTTAGGAGAAGTATGCAGGATTCATTAGCATTTGGCATCAAGATCATCTGACTCAGGGAACTTTTAATGAATACATACAAGATGGCTGCAGTTTGACTTTTTAGGAAAAAAGTGAAGTATCATCTATTTAACTTTCCGATCAATGCTCCAGCGGAATGGTAGGGTTAGAGAAACAGAGATGCACAGGCATGATGTTCGTTTGCAGTAACACGTAAAGAATGTCTGATATCAAGCCCCACGCTTATGGGATAATGTTTGTCTGAACGCCATGTTATATGATATGTGGATAGAGGTAAACCCCTTCCTTGACAAAAAATAATCACAAAGGAGAAAAAAGTCCAAGTGAAAAGGCAGTGAAGCAGTATTTGAGAAAGAGAAAGACTGTTGCAGAAAACAATAGGAATGATTCCAACACTGAGCATTAGTTCTGTAGAGTTTCATAATACTTTGCAGTGATCCCAGTAGAGATGGTACTGCTTAATACTCTAGACTTCTACTGTAGAAAATAGTAATATTTAGTGTAAGGAAAGACTAAATGGGGTCAACTAAGTGGGTTTCTGAAGTTTGGGTCATCCAGCTAAAAATAGTATCAGCTATGATGTCTTTCTTATTTGTTTCCCACACTGGAACACTTTCCATAGAGAATGTTGTGAGTGTTAATATATACGTCTCTTGCAACTTAACAAGAAATACATTAAAAGGAGTGTTAAAATATCCTTTATGCAGAGTTTATAACTTCCTGAAAGTCTTCCCCCCCACACCTTTTCTTGTTTAAACTTTCTGAGTTAAATCTCAAGACAGGTTTTAAAATATTTGTTGGAGACAGGGGAGAAATTTCGAGGAAATTTCCTTCTGCACATCTAGACTTGGCAAAACTTTCTAAAATCAGATTAAGGCTATAAAGTAAAGCAGACTAACGCAATCTTACCAGGTTTTTTTGTCGGTACAGAAAGGATTGTAGAATTGCCCCTGCTGTCAGTCTAACTCAAAAAACACAGGGGCTGCTGCTGGGAAAAGTTCCATAGGGGAGATTGTGCAATGTGTATATATATGACATTGACAACCTTCCACAAGATTCCCAGAGAATGACACGACACACAAGTCTGAAAGCTGAGCTAGAGCTCTCCCTGAATCCATTTGAGTGGTGATGTGATGATTTTAATTGTTATCACTTAATGTTTCATACCTAGACTAAGACTGTATCTCACTTTGCATGATGTGATGTACAGTATTCCAGACAGGTCCTGTAACCCCCATAAAAGAGGGAAGCCAAAACCTGATGCTGCTTATGTTTAAATGCAAGCAGAAAATGTATTACATTAATTTAATGCATCATAAAAGAGCAGTAAGAAGCCCAACATTGCAGAAAACTCTCTCCAGACAAATGAAGCAACAAATGGGATGACACTTGTCTCAATTCTACGTCCATCCCCTCAGTGAAGTAGTCATTTATAATCCAGTTTTTTTTTATTTAGATTCTTACATAGTACCATTGCTCCAGGGCCTAAGCGTCTCTCCAGTAGTTTAAAAACAGAAACAGTGTCAAAGCCTTACTGGAAGATAATTTAAACGCTAAGGAAATACAGTAATTTTTTTAAATAAAGGACACTAAATGGAAGAAGTTATTCAAAAGAAAGTTTGGAAAAGGAAACTTAGTTTCCTACTGCAATCTTAAGTCTCTTTTGTATACCCTACTATTTTTGGTATACACTTAACAACAAAAATTGACATACACCAAACTGTATAAGCAACAAGAAAACCAGAAATAGGAAATGCTATGAAATGCAGCTTTAGCAAAATTGTTTAGATTTAAAATATAACAGGTGGCCGGGGAATATTTTTTTGCCCTAATTCTAGGTCATTATTAGCCCTCCACTCTTTTTATTAACCATATCTGAGTCATTGCTAAATACCATCAACTTCTATATTTAACTTAATCAAAATATAAACCACAATGTTGTCTTAAGCCTGTAGGTCACACAACTGAGGTCTTCCCAGGTTGTTAATAACAGCTGTTGAGTGTCATATGAAATATGAGTTAACTGACTCCAGGTTCTGTCAAAGATGTTTCCACATTACCAAACAAACATCCTCACAAACAGGCTTGGACACTGAGCCCTGGACTGAATTCATATGGACTGTAAATTCCTTTGTAAGCCAGAACAAGATTGCCTGTAAGCACTGCCAGTTAGGACACAGCCATGGTGTATCTTGGACATATGCACTGCTGCTGTCCAGAGTCTGTGAATAAAAAAAACATTTTATAGAAGCACTACGGACCATGAGGTGACTTGGGTCTCTTTACTTTATTCTCATGCATAGAAATGTACAGAATTTTACATCATGCAATTGAGCTCCACCATCAGATTTAATTAGTCTGTACAAAATTGGCACTGATGTGTCTATCTGATAGTTTATGATTATGGATAAAATACTACATTTGCTTTTGCCATCCTCATTAATGTTAACACTTAGCAGCATCTTGTTTTGCTCTGACTCTAAAAGTTCTAAAACTTCTTTAAATTAGATGAAAAACAAACAAAAAGAAACCTTCATGTAAAGCTAAATGACCTTATACATCAGTGTTTCAAGATAAAATCCCATGTAAGTGACTCAAGATAGAGACCATCAATCTTTTGTGATTCATCTCCTCGGGTTTTCCCATTGCAATTTAGTGACTACAGAGTATGTGCATAAAAAGTCTCCTCTCACAATGTTGAATATTTATGGTGAGATTTTCACTGAGTGTATGATCCCTTATGTGAGAGCAATGTAAGTTTAATTTCATAAATGCAATAAATGTAGGCTATTAATAACATACATGTATTTACAGTGAAATTTTTTTATGAACATACAGTCTACATCAGTAGATTCAGATCATTCCTGGAGTGGATTTCTCATTATAGCACCAAGTCACAAATTATTTTGCTGACTTTGAGCTTTTGAGAAACACCGTACTCTCAAATTTACTGCTCCCACAAATGTTTTCATGGACTCAACACTGGGTCTGCATTGTTCAATGGTTAGGGCAGAGGACTGTGGTTAGCACAAAAACTTGCAAGTCAGGCATGTTAACTTTCCTGGCTCTGATACTGTCTTACTGTATCACCCTGAGCAGGTTGCTTTGCCTCAGTTCTCTAACAGTAAAATGGGTGCAATACTTACCTACCTCCCAGCGGTGTTGTCAGGCTTAATGTTTGTAAAGTGCTGTGATAACTTCAATTAAGGGCTTAAAATGCAAAACAACATAAAAGAATTTCCCCACTAGAAATCTGGCAGAAAGATGTCAGTTAGAACATGTCCATTGCAAGGTTACCAGTCCTCTTACAAAGAGGAGTAAAATCAACACTGAGAAAGCTAGACAGAGATGCTGCATGTGCTGCACAATATACGACCAGTGATTCTCAAGTGTAGCCATGGTGGCTGTGTGTGGCCACCGGGGACTTCATGTTCAGCCACCATGACTTTTGGGGTCTGAAAGCCTCTTCCCCAAGCTCCCTGCTGTGGCCACAAGCTCTGCTCTCTGCAGCAGCCCAAGCCCATGGTGGGCTTGGTAGTGTTTCATTATAGTGTAGTAGGGTGGCTGCCTTTGGCTATGGGAGGGAACCACCCCTCTTTCTCCACCCCCTTTGCCTTGATTGACAAGGTTCTGGGATAATCAGCTTGTAGAGGAGAAGCCAGG